GACGGGCGGCGGTGAGGGGCTCCCCAGCTGGCTGTTCCAGAGCAGAGCCCGCCTCCTTCTAGGTCCTGCTTCAGGGACCTGGCACATCCCCCTGGAGCCAGAGCCTGTCCCCAGGGCTGCCACGGGCAAGGGTGCAGAAAATCTTCCTGGAAAAGATGGTCTTTAAGAACATTTTGCCTCTGGGATTGGCCAGGTGAATTGTGAGAGGGACCTGCTAGTGACATTTTTTCCTACACCAGCCTGACACCGGGTGTGGGAGAGGTGGGGGGTGGATGGGCAGGGAGGTGCGTGAACTTCCTCGGGCTGCCATAATGGATCACCACAAACCTGCTGGTATAAGACAACAGAAATTTACCCCCTCACAGAGGCGAGAAGCCTGAAATCAGGGTGTCAGAAGGGCTGTGCCCCCTCCAAGGGCTTTAGGGAAGAATCCTCCCTTGCCTCTTCCAGCTTCTGGTGGCTTCCCATAGCCCTTGGTGTCCCTGGCTTGTGGCAGCATCCCTCCAGTCTCTGCCTCCATCTTCACATGGCCTTCTCCCTGTGTGTCTTCTCCTCTTCTAAGGATGTCAGTCATTGGGTTTAGGGCCCACCCTAATCTAGTATGACCTCATTTTGATGACATCTGCCAAGACCCTATTTCCAAACAAGGTCACATTCTAAGGCTCTGGGTGGACATGAACTGGGGGCACCATGCAACCCAGTACAGGAGGTAAGGCAGAGGCGGACAGGTAGGGATCGGGGAGGGTCAGGATGCTGATAGCAAGGGTTCCACAGTAGCAACCGGAAGGCTGTGAGCAGAGCAACACTGCCTTTACACTCGGCCAAGTCTGGCCCTATGACTTGGAGGGGCCCACACTGGTCCTTCTCCAGCCGGGCCCCTTCCCACAAGGCAAGGAGCCGTGGAGCCAGGGAGATGCGCCCACATGGTCCCCACGACTCCCTACTTCTGGGCCAAGTCCTAGGTGTCCAGAACTCTGGAACCCCCTTCCTCAGCAGCTCTGAGCCACTTCCAAAGGCTGCTCAGGTGTCTCCCCTGGCTCTGCCCTGCTGAGGGCAGGCTGGCTTCCAGTGTGTGCACCCCTAAACCCAGGGGAGGCTCAGGGGCAGGCATTTGTGGGGCTTAGGACAGAACTTGGACTTGTAGCCTGGGGTATGTTCACAGGCCCCTCCAGGCAGAGTGGAGAGTGTGGGGAGAGAAGCGGGTGGTCTGTGGAACTCCATGGAGTCTGGGAGAGTTCTGAGTTCGGATCTGGCCTTCCGGGTCGTGGTGAAGGTGTGTTCCTTAAAGAGGGAGGCTAGGACGTATTTTATTTACATGGTTTCTGAGCTTGATATCTGACTTTAAACCTGTAGACATATCGTGTACATGGGCTCTTGCTCTGGGCCCTAAACACATTACAGACTGTGAGTTGAGATGGAGGCGCCTGGGAGCCTCTGGACTCAGGCTCCAAGAATTATCTTTGGTTCTTCACTCCCTGAGTTATGGCGTGTGTGTGTGTGTGTGTGTGTGTGTGTGTGTGTGTGTGTGTGTGTGTGTGTGTGTGTAACATTTCGTTGGTCTCCCTTACTAGCATATATGCTTCATGAAAACAGAGACCTTTTTCTTCTCATCTGTAAAGTGGGATTAATAGTAGTCACTGCGGGACTTCCCTGGTGGCCCACTAGTTAAGAATCCGCCTGCCAATGCAGGGGACACGGGTTCGATCCCTGGTCTGGGAAGATCCCACATGCCACGGAGCAACTAAGCCTGTGTGCCACAACTACTGAGCCTGCGCTCTAGAGCCCGCGAGCCACAACTACTGAGCCCACGTGCCACAACTACTTAAGCCTGCGTGCCTAGAGCCTGTGCTCCACCAAGAGAGAAGGCACCACAGTGAGAAGCTGGCACACCGCAACAAAGAGTAGCCCCCGCTGGCTGCAACTAGAGTAAGCCCGTGCGCAGCAACGAAGACCCAATGCGGCCAAAAATAATAATGATAATAGTAATAGTTACTGCTTCATAGAGTTACCAGAGGAGCAAGAGAGCGAGAGCGTGTGGATGCGAAGCCGGGAGTGCGGGGCCGGCCCTCAGCGAGCGCCCTGTGAGCTCTGCTCAGGCTGCTGTTGGTTGTCTCTGGAGCCCCAGCACAGGGGAGGGTGCCCGGGAGGTGCTTTGCAAGTGCTTTGTGGAATAAATGACGGAGCGGCTGAGGACGCAGGGGACTGTGTCCTCCCCAGCTCTCGGCCTTGCTGACTTTGTTCCTGAAGGCCAGGTGGGACCAAGGGGTTGCGTGATTCTCAGAACGTCCCCAGAGGCAAATGTGTGCTATCAGATCAATAAACGCAGGCTCTCCCGGCAACGCTTTATGACCGGATTGGCATTTTGAGCCAATTCCTCGGGATGCCGAGGGGAGCCATATTGGAGGAGAGGGCAGGAGTGTACGTAGGAGTGTATATAGGTGAACCACGTGGGCGGCGGCTCTACAAGGCCGAGGGTTTGAGAAATGAGGACAGCTTGGGTAGGGGTGGAGAGGTGAACGGGGAAAGGAGTAAACTGCTTGCTTCCAGGGCTGCCGAGCAGGTCGATGGGCAGGACTTAGTGAGGCCGGGGAGGGGTCAGGGATGACACCTGGCTTCCGGTTAGCCTCACCAGACTGAAGGAGGTGCTATCCCTGAGGTGGGGGGCCCCGGGGGAAATCAGACTTGAGGGGAGGCTCTCAAATTCAGCTTTGGACCAGTTGAATTTGATAAGCCACCAGGACATCCGTTAGACCAGGTTTGAATCCCTGAGCACATCCTGGCAGTACTGTCTGCACCAGGCTCCCTCACTCCTCTGAGCCTTGGTTTTCCTGTCTGCAAAACAGAACACCTCACCAGGTGATTATAAGGACCCTCTGTGGGGATACATGCAAATCGCCCAACCCAGAGCCAGGCACCATGAAGAGAAAACTATGTGTCAGTATTATTCACTCTGTCAGTTATAAGCAACAGACACACAAGGCAAATTGGCTTAAACAGACAAATCATTTACTTTAACTAAAATCCAAGAAATAGATCTGAGATCCCCAGAGCTGCATGCAGAACTCAAGCATCATCACAGGGGCTCCTTATCTCCCTCAGGCACCGTCCACGTGTGTTCAGTGGTCACTAGCTCAGCAAATCCAGTGGCAAGAGTGGGGGCTCTTTTCCTATAATTCTGGCAAAAAAAAAAAAAGGCACAAGAACAATTCTGATTGGCCCAACTTGGTTATGTGCCCAATCACTGTGGCCAGGCTTGGGTCACATGATTTCCCCTGTGGCATGGCTCCCCTGTCAGTGAAAGATAAAGCTGTGCAAGGAAAACCAGCAGACGTCCATCATGTTCTCTGTCTGTCCGGTGGGAGTTTCAGGACGGGAGGAGATGTGTGTGTAAAGTTTCCAGCACAATAGCCAAGACATGGAGTCAACTTAAATGTCCATTGACAGATGAATGGAGAAAGAAAACGTGGTACATGCAATGGCATATTCAGCCTTAAAAAGATGGAAATTCTGAACTATGTGAACACTTGGATGGACCTTGAGGACATTAGGTTAAGTGAAATAAGCCAGACACAGGACAAACACTCCATGGTACCACTTATATGAGAAATCTAAAATAGTGAAACTCAGAGAACCAGAGAATGGAATGGGGATTTCCAGGGGGTGGGAGGAGGGGGAAATGGGGAGATATTGGCCAAGGGGTACAAAGCTTCAGGTCTGCAAGATGACTAAGTGCTGGAGATCTAATGTACAGCACGATAATGATAGTTAACAACACTGTATTGTACACTTAAAATTTTACCAAGAGGGTAGATCTTATGTTAAATGTTCCTATCACGAGAAAAAAGAATAGTAAAGAAGATGGGAGGAAATTTTTAGAAGTGATGGATATATCTATGGCATAGATTGTGATGGTAGTTTCACCCATGTATACTTATTTTTTATTTTTAATTGAACTATAGTTGATTGACAATGTGTTCATTACTGCTGTACAGCAGAGTGATTCAGTTATACATATGTATACATTCTTTTTTATTCTTTTCCATTATGGTTTATCACAGGATATTGAATATAGTTCCCTGTGCTATACAGCAGGACCTTGTTGTCTGTCCATTCTATATATAAAAGCTCACATCTGCTGACCCAAACTTCTACTCCATCCCTCCCCCAACCCCCTCTCCCTTAGCAACCACCAGTCTGTTCTCTGTGTCTCACGGGTGTATACTTATCTCCAAACTCAACAAGTTGTATACATTAAATATAGATAGCTTTTTGTATGTCAATCATACCTCAATAAAGAGGTTTAAAAAATAAAAATAAAGTTTCTGGCGCAAAGTAGGAGCTCAGTTCACGGTGGCTGCTTGCATCAGGATTCTGGAGGTGAAACACCAGAACGGCCCTCCGTGATGCCCTTAAAGTCCTTTACAAATGCAGCCTCTCCGCAACAACCCCCCATCCAACGGCACCTACTTTTCCTCAACCCCCTTCAGCCTTTCACCAAGCTTAAGAGATGGCACGGGAGAGGTCAGTCAGGGGAGGACTGAGGCATGTCGCAGCCCATGGCAGGGCACCATGCTGTCATCTTTGATCAACCATGGACAGGCCGTGGGCTGACCCCAACCTGGAGACCCAGGGACTCCCTATTCCTCCAGGACCAGTGGGAAATTCCAGGACCTCTGGCATCCCCCCAACAGCCTGCACTCCAGAGAGAGGCAGACAAGATCAAGAGAATGGGTTTTGCACAGTTAGACAAAGACTTTGATGGTTCATAACATCAGGGAGAAAATTCCAATACCCCGGGGCAAGCTACGATGTGGATGTTCCTTTCAGCAACCTGCTTCTGATTGGAACTGCCCGGAGCCTCCCTGCCAATCAGCATGGGCGCTGAGAAATTGGAATTTTATAGCTTAGCAACGAGAAATCTGGAGGAACTCTGGAATTAATTTAAGGAAACGGGGAGGAAAAAAAAAAAACAAAAACGAAGAAGGAAATTAGTAGCCAAATAACCAGACTGCCTGATTTTATTATTACCTTTGTGGCCGAGGCAAGTCATGAACATTTTTGGCATTAAGTACAAGCAGAGAGGGAACCAGCCAGCCATCTTGTCTCAAACTCTGCGATAATGTTTTGTTTTTGTTTTGTTTTCCTGCACTGGTGCTGGGATAGGGATGTGAACAGAGCCAAGAAAGAACAGACAAAACAGGTACAATAATTAAAGAAAAACCACACCCAGTCTTGTCTGCCACAGCTCCATCCAGGAGCCTCTTGGCCAGTCTTTTTCTGGAATCATCTTCTATCATGTGACATCATGGATACCAGCCTGTCTGAAATGGGAACTGGAGGTCACGGCAGCTATAGAGGGTTTCTGCAATTTCAGATGGAGGCCTAGTCAGAGGTGATGATAGTGTTGGTTGGTCCATTCGATCACTGTTTATTGAGTGTCATTCATGGGTCACCGTTGAGTCAGGGGCTGTAGAACAGAAGTGGATATCACATTACTGGTCCCTGCCCCTGTGGGTGGAGAGTCTAGCTGGGGCAGGGGGGGCTAGATATGAATAATCAGTTAATTATATAAGGCATGAAACCCCAGTACTTCTGTGGGGACTTGGTTCCGGTCCTCATGTCCTAGAAAACATCCATTTGGATGCCTCGCTGTGAGACAGCGTGATCAACTCATCCCAGTTGGCCCAGGACTTTCCTGATTTAAGCACCTAAAGTTCCCAGTCCTGGGAAACCCCAGGATGACTGGTCACCCTACCTTGGGACAGGATGAACTGGGGAAATAAGCTTCCCTTACCACGTGGGGCTTCCCTGTACCTTCTCCCCAAGCAGCCTGGACACAGGTTAAACAGCCAATTCAGCTTGCGGCTTGGAACAAGCTACTTGGCCTCTCGGGGCCACTGCTTCCTCATTTGCAAAATGGGGTTTGACATGGAGAGCTTTTGGCCTCCTGGTAGTTCTGGTTTCCCAGCCCTGCTGCTGCATTTCAGAGCTTAATCAATGCAGGGGGCCGAGCAAAGGAGACAGGGCCATGCACCCACGGTGCAGCCGTGGGCAAGTTATCTCACCTCTAATGCCTAGTTTCCTCCTCCATAAAATCGTAGTGATAATAGTACTTACTTCGTGGAATTATGAGCACTCAGTTAAGTGAAAATATTCTATAGGTCTGGCATAGCGGATAGTCAGTAGCTGGAAAGTGTGGATATCCTGGTTAATGAAGAGTATATTTAGAGTTATGATCTTTCGTAAGTAGTGACTGCCAGTTTTCAAAAAAAAATTTTTTAAACATGTACTTTATCACAGTACATACTCTTAAGATTGCCTTTTACCTCCGGGTGTCTAGTTCCATAAGGTGGAGACTAGGTCCTTTTTGCCACTGTCTCCCCCATAATAAAGATTTGTTGAGTTCGTTGAGGTCACATCATGCCCATTTTACAGGTGAGAAAACTGAGACTCAGGGAGGTTAAAGGTCCTGCCATTAAGTGGAGAAATCAAAAATTGAACTTGGATCTGATTCAGGGTCCTGTCTCTCCACTAATTGGTCTCTACTTCCTCAGGGGATGCGTAGGGAGAGCACGAGTGATGGCAAAGGGGTGCCAGGAGGCAGATCTGGTGGCGGGGGGTGGGACTGTGAAGATCTGGCTAGGAATTCTCCAAAGGGAGCGGCCACGGTGGGCCGAGCACAACACCAGCAGCCTGGCCGGATCCTCATGTGGACAGGAACCTTTTAGATGCTGCTTTCTCACCTCACTGATTGCCATGGAGACAGGAGAGGGTGTGCACACATGCACGCGCTGAGATGTATCTCAAACCTGCTACCCAGGCTTGCCCAGAGATGCCAGCAGTGGTGGGCAGGTCAAACCAATACACAAGTGCACACAAGAGTAGAGTACATGGTACCATAAACCCCAGCTATCCATCACCCAGCTTCAATAATCACCAACTCTCAGCCAACCTTGTTGCATCTATACCCCCTTCCCCTCCTCCCTCATCCCAGATACTCAGATACTAAGCAAATTCCAGACACCAACCATTTCTTCTGCAAATATTTTCGTTTATGACTCCAAAAGAAAAAGGATTTTTTTTTACCACCATCACACCTACTAACGGTAATGCTTTAATATCAGCAAATATCCAGTGTTCAGAATTTTCTGGTTGTCTCATAACTGTTTTCTTTACAGTTAAAATCAGGATTCATATAAGGTTCATACAGTGTGACTGGTTGATACGCCTCTTACGCCTTTCTTAATCTGCGGGTTCTCCCTCCCTTCCTCTTTCTTCTCTTGCAATTTATTTGTTGAGGAAACTGGGTTGGTTGTTCTGTAGAGTGTTCCGGTCTGGATTTTGCTTATTGCATCCCCGTGCTGGTGTTATACGTGTTCCTCTGCCCACTCTGTTGCTTGTAAATCAGTAGTTAGATCTAGAAGTTCACTTAGATTCATGTTTGTTTTTTGTGTTTGTATGACTACTTCCTAGTGGCTGTTTTATATTTCTATTTGAAGGCACATAATGTGTGGTTGTCCCTCTTCATGATGTTAGTAGCCATCGATGATCACTGTCTAGATCCATTAGAGGTTGAAAAGGGTGGCTTACTAATTCTATCCTTCTGTCTTTGTTTGTTAGCTGGAATATGGCTATAAAGAAACTTCCCCTGATCAGCCATTTGCTTACGGTAAAGTATGGTTCATACCAGAAAGGATAAATGCTTGACTCTTTCCCCTGTATTTGACAGTTTTCAAAATAAGTTCATCCCAGGGTGTTCCCTGGTGGCCTAATGGTTAGGATTCCGGGCTTTCACTGCCATGGCCCGGGTTCAATCCCTGGTCTGGGAACTGAGATCCTGCAAGCCACGCAGTGTGGCCAAAAGGAAAGAAAAAAAAAAGTTGGTCCCAACATCCTCCAAAGATGACAAATGAGTTTATGCGTTTCTGTTTTTCTAAGTATCATTGTGAACTCACAGATTTGGACACACATAACACATTTCCATCCGTTGCAGTTATTATTCCTATTGATGCTCAAAATGTCCCATCTTTGGCCAGTGGGAGCCTCTTCACGTTGTCTTCCCGCCTCCTTTTTGATATGTCCCTATAACAGCTTCTGAGCTACTTGGATGATAAGGTGTTCCAGGCTCATCTTACATATGTCCTGCCTCAGACCTCGAATCAGCCCTATCTCCACAGAACCTGCAGAGAGCACTTCTAGTTGGAAGTGGTGTTTAGAGACCACAACGTGGGTGCTGGGAGTGCTCACTGTTAGTGAATTGCCCATTATTTCTAACCTTTTCAGTGGACAGGGGTAGGAAACACATGCTTTATTTTGTAAGGCAAAATACTGATGCTTCCCATTCAAACTGGGGACTCCAGGTTCTTCACTTCATCTCTGTGATCTTACATCCGCATCTCCTTTCTTCCATGACAGTGTGACAAAGCCTGTTTCTAAAAGCAGAGCTCCCCTTTGTGTCTCCCGCCAAGCAGGAAGCATATGAGAAAGCACTTAAGCCTTTCCCTCAGAAATGAACCCGAGGCCTCTGATTTGGAGGCTTAGAAGTGGCTCTGAGAGAAGCCCATGTCAGGACCCACAAGGGACCACATTCTCATGGCAGACGAACCAGCTCCTCCCACCATCCTGTGTGTGGATCCTCTCATCTAACTGCTCTTAATCCTGGCTGCACGCTTGAGTCACATGGGGAATTATAAAAACTCCTCTCAATCACAATTAAGTCAGAATCTCTGGGCCTGGGAGCCTAACATCACTACTGTTTTTTAAAGCGGTCCAGGTAATTTTAATGTGCAGCCAGGGTTTAGAATCACTACTCTAGTCCTTGCTTCTCAGCCAAAGGAAGAGAAGGAAATGAGGGGTATAGCAGATTCTGCCTTCAAAGCCCATTAGCTTGGGATTGAAACCTAGCACTGCCAGTTTCTACCTGTGAAATACCTGGAATGGCACAGAGCAGTGGAACCTTCTGCAGTAATCAAAATCTATATCTGCACCGTCCAATGTGGTAGCCACTAGCCCCATAGGGTTATTACTGCAACCTAGGAAGTGAATTTTTGGATTTAAAAAATTTTAACAACTTACACAGAAATAGCCACAAGTGGCTAGTAGCTACCATCTTGGACAGTGCCACTCTGCAAAATTACTTAACATCGAGGAGGCTCATCTCTGTAAAATAAGGACAAATAAGAGTGACTTCCTTGGGCTGTTGTCAGGATTAGAGATAATGTATATTAAGTGCCTGGTGCACATAAGACATTCAATAAAATGCTGCTTATTTTCCTTATTAACATCAGCCTGTCACTCCTTAAAGAAAAAAAAAAAAAAGCTTGCCTGGAAAATGAGTGCTCAAAAGCACCCCACCACACAGACTAAAAATTCTGAGCTGTTCCAGAGAAACTCACAGAAAATATTCCTTAATTGTAGAAGTTCAATTACAGCAGGAGGTTATCAGTTGCAAGGGCTGTATTTCATTACAGATCTAGCCACAGCTCAATAAATTAAGCAATCACTCAAAATAACATGTTGCTTTAATCCCCTCTTGGAACAAATTCAAGTTGCTTGGTTTTATATTAGCACAGCTCTTGAAAGGCAACTCACATTGGCCTCATTTCTGTTTTCTCAATTCATCAGCCCCTCTCTGGATAAATCTTTGCGTCTGCTGACTAGCAGGGTGGAGGATTCCAAGGCGAGCAGACCTCCTTTTATCAAAACCGGAGTGTTTTCCATCCTCTGGCCTCGACACGTTCCATGTTTCATGCGCTGAAATTACTGGCAAGTTTATCTGCGGCAAAGACAGAAAGAGACCAAGAGGCAAGAGCCCAGTTCTGAAACACCTCTCAGCAGCCCAGTTCGGATGTGCAAAGCAAACGGTGGCGACTTTTCCACCCTCATCTTCTCTCTAGTGGTTTATCCTCTCACAGTAGAATTTCATTTCCCCTAGAAACTTGGCACTGGAGGTGTCAGCCCGGGAACATATTTGTTTGTGTAAATTAAAAGAAGAATATGTTTTGACCATATTTAAGTTCTGACCGCACTAAAGAAATAAATACTGAGTTGCACAATGCATCCGCTGCACGGTTCTGGCCCACCTCCCCAAACTCTGCCTTTGTTTATAAAACCCAGACGAGAACTGTGAGTGGCTTAGCACCTCAGAAAGCCACAGGGACAACTTTGGAGGCCGTGTCCACCCTCACCCAGGTCCACATGGAAAGTCCACTTACCTGAGTTTGAGATTTGCTTCCTCCTGACATGCTGCATCCTTGCCAAGGGGGGCGAGGGTGTTGGAAACAGACACCCTCACTTGTGCATTGTTGATGGGCCTGTGAATGATGCCACCTTGGTGAAGGGCACTGGGCAATAGCTGTAGAAATTTAAAAATGCACATATCCTCTGACCTAGAAATTCCACTTCTAGGAATGTATCTGATGAGGATACTGGGACACATGCCAGAGAGTCTATATGTTACAACTGCAAAATCCTGGAGTTAACTGAAATGCTGGCCAGTGGGGGACAGGTTAAGTATGGTGCATTGCTAGAAGTCATTAGAAAGATTGTGGTGGGACAGAGGGCTGTCATGTCTTCAGGATATATTATAACGCCCAGCCCCTCCAATTTTCTTAATGTTAGGAGCCAAAAAAGTATATGCTCTCGAATATGGTTAGAAAATTTATGAAGATTATGCGGACTGCATACAGTGGTTACATTTAAAAAGTGAAACTGGAGTTAGAGAAAAAATGTAAAGGGGCTCCTTTATTTCCCCTATTTCCTCTGACCCGGGCAATGTAATACAACAATAATACTCTTTTTCATTACGTATCTGTCAGGCCAATGGAGTGGTGGTGGGAATCTTTGCTTTTCTGATCTTTATGCCAATCATACAGTGGACTGAATGGCGATCCCCAGAGAGAGAAAAGCTATGTCCACTTCTCTCCCAGAACCTTCACAGGTTTCCTTATATGGAAAAAGATGTGATTAAGTTAAGGGTCTTGAGAGGTGGAGTTTACCCTGGATTATTCAGATGGGCACTAAATGCAGTTACATGCATCCTTGTATGAGAGAAGCAGAGACAGACAGACAGAAGAACGTAGGAAGATGGAAGCAAAGATTGGAGTGATGCAGCCACATGTCAAGGAACACTGGAGCCACCAGAAGCTGGAAGAGGCAAGGCATGGATTTTCCTCTGGAGCACCTGGGAGGAGTATAGTCCTGCCAGAGTTTGGACTTCTAGCCTCCAGAACTTCGAAATAATAGATTTCTATAGTTTTAAGCCACTCGGTTTGTAGTAATTTGTTATGGCTGCCCTAGGAACCTAATACATCACCTGACACCCGTAAAACACATGAAGTGCATAGGGAGAAACAAATGTGGCAAGACTGTGGTTTTTGGTGAATTCATTCATTCCACAGATATTTATTGAGCATCTACTAGGTGCTGAGGAGACAGCAGGGAACAAATCAAAGATGGCTGCCCACCTGGAGCTGACATTTCAGTGAGAGAGAGAGGGAGAGAGAGGGGGAGAGAGAGAGGAGATAAAATAAATAGAACATGGAGAAAGACTGATGGTGGTGGAAGGGAACAAGAAAGAGAACAAGAAAGCATGGAAGAGGGGCAGGGGTCAAGAAGGGAACTGGGAGAATGCAGTTCCCAGGTGACACTGAAGTAGAAGCCTGAAGGGGTTGGGAGCACAAGCTGTGTGTCCACCTGAGGGAAGAGTATCTGGCGAAGGAAACAAGTATAGAACTTGACCCTCTGAGTGATCCATCTGTTGACCAGACTCAGTAGGAGGGAATGACCCTTTCTTCCCTCCTCCTCCTTTCCCTCCCTCCCTCCCGCATTTGCTGCCCACCTGCTGTGTGCCAGCTGCTGGGGGTGCAAAGATGAGTGAGACGCAGGTCCCCAGGCTCAAGGTCATGGGGGGTAACAGTCATAAGTAAATCGTCGCAAATATAATGTGGTGGGCATTGGAGCAGAGGCCACGGCAAGCTGCAGGCTCCATCCTTGGTGGAGAGCAGGGTGGGAAGGGGAGGTGGGTGTATGTTGGGAATGAGGTCGGAGAGAAGCAAGCAAGCAGGAAGAGGGCAGGACTTGAAGTCCAAGAATAAGTGTTTAGCTCTGATTCAGTGGTAGATTAATTGGAGCGGGGGAGCATGGAGATGTGTCTGGGGAATCTCTCATTCCCAAGGACAGCAGGCAAACTTAGGGGAGAATGAGCTCTGAGGATAACCTACCCCTTTTAGATTCACACAATCTGTGAAGAGGGAAAAACAGTTCCCAAGTCCTGAAATGGGATGCTTCGGACCATACGGAAACCAGAGCTGATCTGATTGAGGAAGACGGGAGATTCATTACTCAGGTAGCTATGATGAAGAACAAAAGAGGCTGAGTTGCTCTTGGATCCAGGGACAGAACGCAGCGCCAGTCTCTCTCTCCGCCCCATACTCCCATCCCAATCCTCATTTCTCCCTTCCTCCATACTGGCCTCAGTCTCTGTGGTCACAGATAGCTCTGGAGGCTGGAGAGGGGCTGGGAAAAGCAGCCTTCTCACCAGCTGTAGTTAGGGTAATCCTGGATTGGCCCTGCTTGGGTCACATGACCACACCTGGACCAATCACTGCAGCCCAGCTCAGAAGTGGGCTGCTGTGATTGGTTGTATTTGAGTCACGTGTCTATGCCTGGACCAATTACTATAGCTGAGGCTTGGGTGCTGTAAGCGACCATCTTTGGCCATATTCCCACTGGACATCGTGTCCGTTAACGGAAGCTGGGGGGAGAAAGTGCTGGCAGGTGAAAAAACAAAAATAAAACCCTGAGCCGTCTACCTCCTCCAGAGCCTTCTCCTGGTTGTGCTGCTTCCACATTCACTCTGCTGAGAATTGCCAAAATCCTGTGTTGGGCTTTGCTTTAAGATCCACTGTCTATAAACCCCAAAGCTGCCAGCCGAATTTACTCAGACCTGTTGTTGGTTTTTTTTTTTTTGCCGTTGTTATATTATTTTAATCAAATGTAAAATGTTCTCTTCCTCTTTGGTTTATGATTGCCTCTCCTGCCCCTACGGGTAGGAACTGTGTCTGTCGTGTTGACTACTATATTACTCATGCCTGGTACTCAGTCTCTTATGTATAAGTCCTCAAATAATTGAACGAATGAATGAATGTTCACTCATTCATTGAACATGCCACAGAGACAGGAGGTGCTGCAAGGTCCTTATCTGCTCTCTTCAGTGAGTCCCTCTCTTCCACTCTCTCCCTCCTTCTCAGTCGTGTTGGTTCCCCTTCATGACAAGGTTTCGTTAGTCTTAGTGCAACCCTGCAGTGTCATCCCAACACAAACTGCAGGCTCTGAATCTCTAGGTGAATTCTTGGGTTGAGAGTCTAGATAAGCATGAGAAATAAGGTTCATTTGCTTGGTGGAGGCTGTCCTTTGAGAAGGATAATGGAGCTCTCTTTGAGCTGGGAGGGATTGGGTGCCATGATGGTTGCCAGTGTCTACCATGGCCACCTGCCTCTAGTGGGTATCCCTGGTCTGCTACTGCTCTGGATTGGTTGCTCACCAGCAGGCCTCTGTCCTGCAGCCCTGTCATTTGCCGTGATATCACGGTACACTCCGAGTCCAGGACAAACTGGTGTGGCCAAATAAAACAACCGCAGGTTCTTAGGGAAGAAGGCTTAAGACAAATGGCTATTTTTTAAAAAGTACTTATAACCCACATGTCAGCTGGGGTCATCTTATTTTTGGAGATTCCAATGGAACGGACTTAAACGCTGTCCCACATGCCATGAGAGACCCAACTCTCCTTTCCAGAGATGGGGGGTGAGGGATGCTCATGTCTCTCCTAGGCACCCAAAGCTCAAAATTCCTGCAGCCAATCAATCAGTTCTCAGTTCTGCTCGGGCGCCCTTTTGCTGGCCTCATGGGCGCATGACTTGTGCTGTTGTACAGGGTCTACGTTAAGTTTGATGTTCTACTGTTGTCATCTTGAACTTCTTAGTAATTTCTGAACAAACGGCTCCACATTTTCATTTTGCAAATCCTGTAGCTAGACTTGCTTCACTCAGGAGCATTCCTTTCCCACCCCACACTGACTCACTCTAGACTATGCCCCAATTCCTCCACTGTCCCCAAATTCCATCCACACAAGGATATGGGTATAGGAGACTTGGCCTGAAGGTTTGGGATGAAAGGAAATGTTGACCTCTCAGCCAAGTTAACGGCATAAAGTGCAGTGTATGAACTGGCTTCAAACTACTCAGTGGGGAACAATGGTGGAGGGAAGGCAGGTGAAACAAGACTGGCAAAAGGTTGATCGTTGTTGAACCTGGATGATGGGTGCAGGGTGCTTTCTTATTTTCAGTATGGTAGGAAACTTCCATAATACAAAGTTGAAAAAGGCACTATATGATGTGCCTCCGGCAGGTCCTCAAAATGTTAAAATGGAGTTGCCGTATGACCCAGCAATTCTACTCTAGATATATTACTCCAAAGAAATGAAAACATACGTCCACACAAAAACACATGAATATTCATAGCTGAATTATGCATAACTGCCAAATGTCTATCAACTGACAACTGGATAAATAAAATATGGATGTTATCTGTCATAAAAAGGAATGAAGTTCTGATATGGGCTACAGCATGGATGAACCTTTCTAAAAATTTTTTTAAAAATGTATTTATTTTTGGCTGCATTGGGTCTCTGTTGCTGAGTGCGGGCTTTTTCTAGTTGTGGCGAGCGGGGGCTACTCTTCCTTGCGGTGGCTTCTCTTGTTGCGGAGCACAGGCTCTAGGTGCGTGGGCTTCAGTAGTTGTGACGTGTGGGCTCAGTAGTTGTGGCTCACTGGCTCTACAGTGCAAGCTCAGTAGCTGTGGTGACAGGCTTAGTTGCTCCACAGCACGTGGGATCTTCCCGGACCAGGGCTCAAACCCATGTCCCCTACATTGTCAGGCAGATTCTTAACCACTGTGCCACTAGGGAAGCCCAGCATGGATGAAGCTTGAGGACACAAATGCTGAGTGAAAGATCAGTAACAAAGGATCACATACTGTATGATTCCATTGGTAGGAAATATGCAGAACAGGCAAATCTACAGAGGCAGAAAGTAGATTAGTGATTGTTTAGGGGTGGGGGCTGGGAGAGGGACTGGAAGATTGGGGGGGGGGGTGACTGTTAAAGGGTATGGGGGTTTCTTTCTGAGGGCATAGAACTGTTTTAAAATTGATTGTGATGATGGTCGCACAACTCTGTGAATATACTCAAAGCCATTGAGTTGTGCCCTTGAAATGGGTGAATTACATGGTAAATGAATTATATCTCAATAAAACTGTTGGGGGAGAAAGTCATGTCCTCCCCCCTGACCCCCTTCTCCCGCCAGGAATCCTTAGGCTCCAGCCTCCTGCCTTTGGGAAATCTCTCCCTCCTCCACCCTCTCTCTGCACGCGTGTGCGTGTGCACACACACACACACAACTTTCCATCTCCCCTTCCTGTTACCTTCTTCTGCCTTAAGACATTTTTCATTCTTTTGCCATTGCCACCAACTACAGAGAAGTGCCTTCCCCAAAGAGAAGTTCCTTCCACAGCCAAAGTGCCCCGTAGAGGTGTTTTCCTAAACACTGTGCTCTTTAAGTTACTCACTTCCCTTTCAGTCCTTGCACGCAGGGGAACAAGGTCGTGAGGAAAGGAGCACGAGGTGTGCTGCCTCCATTTCTTCTGCCTTCGGTTTGTGAGCTTTTCGCAGGGCTTCCAACAGCGCTATGTTGCGACAAAGCATCCGGAGGTTCACAACCTCTGTGGTCCGTAGGAGCCACTGTGAGGAGGGTCCGGGGAAGAATTTACCATTTTCAGTGGAAAACAAGTGGCGGTTACTAGCTGTGATGACTTTGTACTTTGGGTCTGGATTTGCTGCACCTTTCTATATAGTAAGACACCAACTGCTTAAAAAATAATCCATGAGACAGATACAAAGAGGAGCATTTAAAGTGTGCAGTCTCTCTGAAAAAGGATTAAACTCTTGAACTCAGCATCCTAGATATGTTTGTAAATAAACTTATGGCATAAAAAAGTTACTCACTTGACAGCTATTAAAATTACGATTTTAAAGTCCCCGTGGTGATCTATCATGGCAGTCACTAACAAGTCCTAGTAGTTGTAAATTCCAAGAGCTTCATAATCCCAAGGAAAGAGGGGCCAACTCAACTTCTCCCAAGCCCCACTGGTCTCTGTTCTGAAACGTAACTCAGCCACCTCACAGGTGGGGAGAGAGGGTGAGGAAGATCGTTGCCAGGGCCAGGTTCTTGCAGGTTTTGGGGTCTGGAACAGGGTGGGCAAACTATAGCCTATGGGCCAAAATCAGCCCACTTCCTGATTTTGTAAATAAAGTTTTATTGGAACACACAGCCACATCCATTCATTGACTTAATGTCTCTGGTTGGCTTCTTGTTACAACAGCAGAGTGGAGTAGCTGTGACAGGGACTGTATGGTCTGCAAAGTCTAAAAATACTTAGTATCTGGCCCTTTCCAGAAAAGGTTTGCTGACCCCTGACATGGAAGATCCAGGCTTGAACTCCAGCTCATCACATGCTGGGTGTGTGACCTTGGACAAGTCAGTTCCTCTCTTTAAGCTTGTTTCCTCATCAGGAAACCAGAGGCAGTAACAGTGCCTCCCTTATATGTTGCTTGTGCAATGAAAATGACTTCATATGTATAAAGTGCTTACTTCATATAAAACACTCAATATATGTTGGTGGTTACGATGTTATTTAGAAAATGAGGGCAGTAACTCCTACTTCGTATGGTAATTATGTGAAGTGATGGAGCTCAAGCCTGTGAAAACAGTTGGCCAAAAACACGTTTATTATTGTTATAAATATCTTAAAGGCTTTTGAGAGGGTTCTTTGCTTCTCAGTAAAGCTACGTTAAGTTTTTTGGGGGAGCAAATTTGGAACTGAGAGTGTAGAAAACTCTAATTTCAGAGGAAAAGAGGACCCTTAACCCTCAGCTGGGACTTGAACCTGCCCAGAACGCAAGTACTCTTTTGGCTGAGCTCGGCATCTTCCCCAATGACAGGTGCTCAGGAATCCAGGCCTGCATGTCTTTAAACACTTGTGTTGCCTCCGAGGTCCCCACCAGAACCTGTTTAAACAGTAATCTGCTACGAGGTATTGGCATGCAGGTTTGCGGCCCGGGTTTGCAGCCAGGGGAGGGAAGAGACCTTTGTCTCCACACCCTTCAGGGGATTGTCCAGAAGCCAGCTGAGGGTAGCCACCACTGATGGCCTGATTTCCTGGACGGTGTTATTTAAATCGGGTTTAGTTCGGGAGATATGGCAGCCTCCCATCCATTCGCTTTGTTTCACAGCGATTAACTGAGTAGCTAATACATGCCAGGCCCTAGGGATACAGCAATGAATGATTCACCCCCTGCCCTTGGCAACTGCCCCCCTTCCTTCTGATGGGGGCGACAATCAAATAGGCATCTGGGCAATTTGGCCCCATAATAAGTCCTGTATTATCCCCAGGATTTCAGTCCCACACTAAATACTGTACCAATGAATTGGAAAACCACTCTGGGCCAGCTGTATGATAGATGGGTGGTAGGAGTTAAGAGTGCCAGCTCTGGAGTAGGTCAGATCTGGGCAGGACTGGCTCTGTAATTTGCTAAATGAAAACGTGGGCACCTTGTTCGAAAATTATTCAAAATTTCAGGATGACAACAGCAGAGCACTGAACTATGCAGGGCCCATGCTGTGAAGCTGGCCCTGTGCCTGGGGTCAAACTGCTTTCCAGCTGGGTACCATCAGACACATCTCTTCACCTGTCTGAGCCTCCATTTCCTCATGTGAACAGAGATGCTAAGGCCAATGTGAGGTCTGGTTGTGGCTAGTAAGTGAGATGAGGCAGGTACAGCGCTGAGCAGGGAGGGCAGGCTCCGCAATATCACTGCTGTTCTCAGCCTGCAGTGACGGCTGCGTTTCATCCTATGAGAAGAGCGCACATTTATGTTTCTTAGATAATAGCTAAGACTTAGACAGCAGATGGTTGATGCCAGACACTGTCTTAAGTTCTTTACGGATGTTCATTTCTTCCTCATTACAACCCTATCATGTAGAGATGGGGAAATTGAGGCCTAAAAAGAAGAGAGAACTTGCCTGTGATCTCACACCAGTCAGTGGAAAAATCCAGATTCAAACATGGGACATCTGGTCCCTGGGTCTGTGTTCTCAACCGACTACGTGTCCCAGGAGTTGACACATCCCTGACACGCACACTTACATACACACGCATGTATGCACGTACCTTCTCTGAGATGCTACCACAAAGCGTACAGTGTGGAACTGTCCCCATAAGATGGGATTCTTTCTCTCTCTTTTAAAAAATTAATTAATTAATTTTCTGGCTGCGTTGGGTCTTTGTTGCTGCAAGTGGGCTTTCTCTAGTTGCGGTGAGCGGGGGCTACTCTTCGTTGTGATGCACGGGCTTCTCATTGCTGTGGCTTCTCTCGTTGCGGAGCACAGGCTCTAGGTGCGCAGGCTCAGTAGTTCTGGCACGTGGGCTCAGTAGTTGTGACGCACAGGCTCAGTTGCTCCGTGGCATGTGGGATCTTCCCAGACCAGGGATTGAACCCCTGTCCCCTGCGTTGGCAGGTGGATTCTTACCACTGCGCCACCAGGGAAGTCCCTTTTTCTCTGCTTACTTGCTCTTTTGTCTGTGCCCTGCGACTCAACTTGGAGCCCCACGAGGGCAGACACTGTCTTGCTTCCTGCTCTACCTCTGGCACCTGGCACTGTGCTGAGCACACAGTAGGCCCTCAATAGACATGCACCAGTGAAGGCAGGTGGGAAGCAGGCATCCCGCCAGAGCACTCTGATCCAGAATCAACAGCCGCAGTTCCCAGAACCTCAAGACTGCGGCCTTAAGAACTTGTTTGGGGGCGATCTCGTGGCTAGAGGAACCATTTCATCCTCTCCTGGCTCTTCTCACTTGGGGTCCTCTCACTGTGCAAGGCAAGGGGGGTGAGAGGCATTAAAGGGGTGCCCTAGGGCCCAGCCCCCATCCTGGCAGGCTGCAGGGTGAGGGCACGGGTTGTGCTCTGGCAGCTGGGCCACAGCTGTCTGCCAGCCTCTCGGTGCCTGCCCCAGCTGGCCAGCTGGGCCCTGATGCCACCCCCCACCCCATGACACAGCAGAAAGTGAAACCAGAGCCCGCCCCTGCTGGCTGGGACCCAGTGCTTGCTGTTTCCCCATCCCAGGGGGTGGGTGGGGAGCTGATGCCCAGGCCTGGCACCGGGTGGCCTGTCCAAGGAATACCCCTCCAGGCCAAGGGTGCTGCTGTGCCCCCTGCCCATCCCAGGGCCTCCGGTGCCCACTGCCTTCTGAGCCGTGCCCTGTGTGTGAACCATCATAGCTGCTCAATTGAGTCCCATTAACCCCTGATCGTCACACTGCTCTGAGACAGGGGGTTAATTATTCTCCCCATTTCACTGAGAAAACTGAGGCTCAAAGAGGTGCCTCGGCCAGGAAGGAGGGTGCTGGGGCAGCAAGATCTTAAAATAAAAGACAAATCAGAGCTATGGGTGGGCATAGGGGCAGAGATCCAAGGGGTCTCACTGGTGTTGGCGAGCAGGGCAGGAGTTTGTGGGGGGAGAAGACACGTGACCCCCAGGTTATCACAGGTCGAGCCCCCTGCAGATTGGAATTGGCAACCTACCCCTCCCCACACCACCTCCATGGGTGCAGAAAATCCCTAAGACAAACAAGAATTCTTAAGAGGTGGACTATGGGGAATTCCCTGGCTATCCAGTGGTTAGGACTCCACGTCTCACTGCCGAGGGCTGGGTTCAATCCCTGGTCGGGGAACTAAGATCCCAAAAGCCATGCCACGCGGACAAAAAAAAAAAAAAAGAGGTAGACTTTGACACTTTAGAAAGTATCATCTTGAGTTCTGCCCCATCCTCAGGCCACCCGTACTCTCCTTTGCTTAATATTTTTCTTTCAAGCAACTCACCCTCTTTATCTTGCATAAATTGATGTAAAAAAGAGCCCTTCTACCCCTACCCTAAACTGAAAGCCAACTGCTTGCCGTAAGTAGAAATCTGCTGTACAGAGAAATACCTGTTAGAATAATTTACGTCTCTAGCCAGGTACCACTTAAAATCATGTGCATATCAGACTTGGGAAACTTCTATTCCAAAACATAGGTTTCCTACGTGAGGAAATGGAGGCCCAGAGAGGTTGAGTCACTTGCCTGGGGGTGACACTGAGAAAGAGTCGCAGGGCTGGGGCTGCCCGATTCCATGATTCTAGAAACCTGTGCTTACTGCTGGGCTGTAGTCTCTGCTCCTGTCCGAGCTGTCTTAGCATATGAAGCGTGTATTAGTAAGTATCAGCACTGACAGCTTCCATGTTTCATGCTTTGGCGTCACCACTTTCAAAGCACCTTCTGAGCTTGTCTGTCACTTGAACTCATGGTAACACTCTAGATACAGGTGAGAACCCTTTCAGAACAGAGCATGGGGTGTTGCCCCTCCCTTGCCAGAGAAGGAAACCGAGGCAGAGGGTGGGGAAGTGGTCTGACTCAGGGAGCTGGTGAGCCAATCAGGACTGTCCAGAGCCCCTGCCGAGGTGAGGATCCCAGAGGCCCTGCCGGAAGGCCCAGGCTGAATGTGAATCGCCTTGTCAAACAGGTAACACTTGTTTCTTCCCCACTTTCCCCACCTCCCCCACCATGAACCCCCAGAGCAAACGCTGACAGCAGCCTCAGCTGCCCTGTTTCCCAAGCCTGAGCTCCAACATTCGGCCCCTGGAGGGCAAAGAGCACGTTTAGGAACTGGTGTCTGCGGATGGCATCTTTTCATTTTTCATGGTGCACCAGTTCTGAGCACTGTGGAGGGGAGCTCTACCAGGGACCAGAAGGGGAGGTTTGGGGGAACATCTTTGTCTCTTCTTTTAGTTGCTGGAGAAACTCAGCTGCCACAGCTGGCCCAGGGACCCCCGAGGAATACTGCAAGAGCAATAAGGATTTTTAGGGGCATTATGATAGCGGAATGGAAACACATCTGCCCCCAAAAGTCCCTCATTTTCCCTGCGGTAATGAACCAGCTGGGCAGGAAGTGGTGGCTCTCGGAACTCCAAGAGCCAAAACTAAAAAGGAAAAAATGTACAAAGTTAGAGCAAACTTTAAACAAGCCGACGCTTTCCTGGTGCACAGGCGGTGGCTCCACCCAGGCTCCCGAAAGGCTGATAATTGGCTAAATGTGTCTCCACACAGTGGCTTCAATATAGATGCGCCTCCTCTGTGCCCAGAAAAACCAGGATCTGGAACCCAGAGCAGGTGGTGAGGATGAGTCCCTAAGGCCAGGTGACTCTCAAGAGCCAGTGCCATCTCCCCAAGACCCCGAATGATTATTCCAAACCCTCATTAGTAACCCAAGGGAATCACAGACCCTTCAATCCCTCCTTCCTCTGGAATGTGGGAACGTTATCAACTTGGAAACCCGGATGAAAATACCTGTAAAGCAAGCAGCTGTTTCCAGGGCTGTATGAACAAGTGAAGGGCGAGAGCTTGGGTCGGGGAGCCTGGTGGTTATCACTGATGGGGCCAAAGGGGGAAAATCACAGCTAAGGTCCAGGGTGCCGACTCTCAGGTCCAGCCGCTAACGACTGATTAAGGAGTCAAGGGCAGGGGCTCCCCAGGGTTTGTGGCCTTCAAGGTCTCTGCAGACAAGGCCCTCCCCCAAGCCAGCCAGCACCCCCCCCCCCCCCCCCCCCCCCGGGGGACCCCCCCCCCCCCCCCCCTCCCCCCCCCCGCACCCAGGCCCCCCCCCCAACCCCCCCCCCCCCCCCCCCCCGCCCGCCTTGAAAGGGTTAACACCTCTGCTGCTGCTGACACCCGAGGAGGCGGCCGCTCACTCAGCAAGCTGGCATATCACACTGGGCCATCGCGGAAGAGAGGGGCTGAAAACAGCCTCTGTGAGTTCTGTGAATGGAAGCGGCCTTATCGCCATCAGAGTGAAAAACGGGGCAAAAAGCCTTCCCAACACAGAACCCGCGACCTGGGCGCTCGCTGGCTCCTCGGCACCTGTCGCGTGGCCCCGGAGCTCTGGCAGGGACTCCGGGAGTCTGTGGCGGTGAGCACCCGGCCACCTCGGCCAGACCTGCGAGGGGGCGATTCTACACTTGCCATGTGACCGCCGGCAACCAGGCCTAGATCTCGCCTTTCAAGCAGCACCTAAAATATTCTCCGGGTGAACCTGAGGCTAAATATGGCCTGGCCTACGAGTGCCTGGTCTGGACCTTTTAATGCCACTCGAAGATACAATCAGGAACCCGTGGGGCCTTTTGGTGGCCTAGAGTCCAGTTACTGAGGCCAAACGGGAGGCCCGTGGGCTTGGCTGACTCCAGGCTGGGTGCAATCTCCCCCAGAGGCTGCGTCCCGGTGCCAAGGCTGAGCGGGCTTGTCTCCTGCATGTCTTATTCCGGAATGCCCACACAGTTCTCTCTCTGCCGGCCCCCAGGGTGGCTTAGATGTAGGTCCCCTCATCCACCTCCCTGGCCTTCCCTCCAGGCGCTCTGATGGCCTGCCAAAGGCTTCTCCCCCACTTCCAGGCTGCAGCCCTGACCCCCCTGGCCCGGGTTTTCCTTGCACTCTGATTGAAAGAAGAGGGCTCAGCTCCCCAGGTGGACAGGAGGCCGCTGGCTGGAGAAGGCAGGGGAACACACACACCTGCAGGGGGTAGACTGCACGGTAGCTTAGATGTGTCCCTGCTCTGTGGCTGGCCCCCTGCCACATCCCCTCGGCCCACCCCAAACGGCAGGATCGCAGCCCTGTTGCTGGAGGGCAGAGAGAGCTTCAGCCCGGGCTGCAAAAGCACAGCTCTGCTCTGGAACCTGCTAGCCTGGTCTTAGCAAAGTTGGGTTCTGCCCTCACCGGAGGCCACGTGGTAACCGGGACAGTCAAGAGTCTCTGGGGAGGCTGCTCTCGGGAGCCTAACACCCCCCCACACCCCGCTCCCTGCTTTTAGCCGAGAAATGCTGCGGGCCCTGAGGGCCCTAGGAGGAGAGACCCCCTTCCCCCAGCACCTGTCTGGGGCTTGTTTGGGCTCTGGTGGTGGCTCCAAGGCCACGTTCAGGCCTGGGCTGGCAGCGGTCCAGGCTGTTTTGGGCAGAGATGCCAAGAGACCCGGGCACTGATCTCACGCATGATTCCAACAAGAGAGCCTGGTTTTCTGCACGTCTCTCAGAAAACTTTCACACCACACTGCACAGCTACCGTAAGGCTCCTTTCCCCGCCTGGGCCAAATCCTCCAGCAAAGGCTAAATTTGCCTCCCTCTTCTCAGTCCCTTTTGACAATGGCTTTCTTGGGACACCAACATCAGTTTTCATTTTCTTGGTGTGCTTCCCTTTCATGCTAGTGGTGCAGCCTTTCCGGAGACACTGAGAAAGGAGTTTGCTTTGTGGTCCCTTCAACTTGAATGTTTTATATAAGGAAGATGATATAAAATCGGAAACTTGAAAGCTTTGTAAATATCTGCACATGCCCCCTTACAATGGAGGACGCTGGGAAAGCAGCCTCTGAGGACTGGGTGCTTTGGAAAGAGACCCCGAGGAGATGTGGGAGGCTTGGGGTGACAGGGACCCCGAAGTCCCCTCCTTCCAAACTCTCTTCAACATGTACCCTTTTGCCTGAAAAGCCTGCATGGCTACTAGGCCTCAAGTCTGTGATCCTTTTATAACACGTTCGCGTAGGTGTTTTTCTTCAGCGTTTACTTTCACCTTGTTCCAAATATAAGAAGCAAAAAGGACTTTATATTTTCCCAAGTTTGGGATACATTCTCCCAAGTTTGGGATGCTGGGCAAGAAAGAAAGTGGATTATTTTGTTTGGGTATGCCCTTTCTGGCCAGCGGTTCTAAGGACCAAGTTTGCCTTCACTTTCATCAGACCCATTTCTATCCTCATGCCTAAAATAGCTGTATTTACAATATCACAATTACAAGAGGCTGAGCTTCTCTTCTATAAGGTAGTTGTAAGTTTATCTGGCAAGAATCTTCTTTCTGCTCTTAATATAAGTGGGTGGGAGGCTGGGCAGCAAGAAATAGAGGGAGTGCTCCCTTAGGGACTTTTCCAACTTTCACTGGTTTGGGTCAGAAACGCATGTTTTATTTTCAAGGAAGTAGGAGTTTCATTGCAGCCCCTCTCCTAAATATTTTACCCCCCCAGCTATTCCATATTCTTTCTGTTGAAACATTTTTTTCCCTGTGAGAGTCGGCTATAGATTGTGTATTGCTAAGACTGACGTTCAAATTTGCTTTTTTTTTTTTCCTTTCGAAATACATCCACACTTCCTTGGAGGGAAAAGTAGCAACTGCTTCGTGAAATTTCACACAGAGGTGCAAAAGGAGAAAAGCCAAAATGTATTCAGCAGTTCCACTGCTGAGCTTTTATTTTTTCTTATTGGTTAGGGTCGGGGGGGTGAGGGGGAGCAGTGGTCAGAATATGAAAAGAAGCTGTGATTCTTTGCTGAATTAGTGACCACTTCTCACTGCAAAGTAGTGACTAACAATCTCTTCACCATACTACTCTGCCTGTTTCCAGACTCAGAGGCAGGGGGAGTTTGCTAAATGTATTCATAATTACATGCACCCTTGCAGAGGGCCGAGTGTAAGCAGGGGCTGTGCTGTTTCGAATGCTCGAATTAAAGCAGCCCCCGGTTCACATTCAGCACTAAATTCTGATTTTCCACATTTGACAATTCAGCAATTTTAACATGCTGCTTCATCGCCACGATTATAGCTCAGTATCTTGGTGCGACATTTGGCGTTCCGGTCTCGTTAATTCACGTAAAACACCCTATTTGTAGAAGTATCATTAGAGGCTAATTTGGTGAGATGTCCTTATTTAGCAAAGCAAATAGGACCTGACAGTCAGCTCTCTGGCGCTACCATGGGGGTGACGATTCAGCAATTCACAATGTGACAATTTCCCATCGCCCAGCCACGCTGGGATTGTGGACTCCTGAAAATTGTGCTGTTTCATCGTGTCCCATAACAAAGGGAAAGAACTCTGAAAAGTAAAGAACTGTTTTTTGCCAAGGCCCCGGGAACACGAATGTCACCAGTGTGTCTATGTGCCATGTCTATTCAACACGAATCTTCTATCAGGGACTTGGTGTTCCAGAGTTTTTCAGGTACAGCTCACTTTTCTCTATGCCCTGCCGTGAACACTTGATTGAAATCCAGGTTTGCAAATAAATAAACTTAAGGTATGTGGATGTCTATATAGGTTACAACTGGAGGGTAGGGGTGTGTGTGTGTGTGTGTGTGTGTGTGTGTGTGTGTGTGTGTGTGTG